AGATAGCACTAATAGGCACTTTGTTCGTGTGTTCATTCATTCGATAAATAGCCATTGAATGTCTCTTATATACCATGCACTAGGAATACAACCGACACTAATCCCTGTCTTCCTGCAGTTTACATTCCAGTGACGGTAGTGCCAAAGTGAAGGTATAGAAAAAAAGAAAAGAGCTTAATTAGAAAAACTAGAGATAGTACAATTTATTTTCACATTTGAATAGCCATGAGTTATATTTTTAAACCCACAACAATGGGGATGAAAAGTATTCTGGTGGTATGCATAGCCTCATTGTGGTTAAGAAAAGCTAACAATAACTACAGAGCTTATTCTTGTTTGGACATCAAGTTTAAATAACTTGACATGTTATCACAGGGTCAGTCATAGAGTCACAAAAATTTGGAGCTGGAAAGGATCTTCAAGGTCATGAGGCCGACTTTTTTTTTATATATATATGTTATTTTTTAAAAAAATTTTTTTTATTTGACAGAGAGAGAGAGAGAGAGCACACAAGCAGGGGGAGCGGCAGAGGGAGAGGGAGAAGCAGGCTCCCTGCTGAGCAGGAAGCCTGACCCCAGGACCCTGACCTGAGCCATAGGCAGACACTTAACCGACTGAGCCACTCAGGCGCCCCATGAGGCCCAACTTCTTAGTTTGATTGCTAAGGAAACAGACACGCTGGGAGTTGAGAAAATCGCCACTAGAGCTGGGATGTAAATATATGTGCCTTGACATTAGTCCAGGGCTCTTTAAATAGAACACTGCTTCCACTTGAATCTTAGGAGAACATATTCACTGATTATTTCACTTTGATATCAGGAGGTCCTCTCTAGGGCTGGCTCTTATAAGTATTGGGAACACGATGGGCAATGCAATGATAGTTCAATAGGGTAGAGGATTAGGAGAACAGATACTCATTAGAGTGGTTAGTTGCTCTTTCTCTTGCTCCATAGAATGTGAAATATAGCCCAGAAAGAACCCAAGCAACCTCAGTGGCAGAGTCCCCACCAAGGTGACAACCTACTCAGTAGGGGTAAAACCTTAGGTTCAAGAATGAGACATCTGAATTCAAATCCCAGCTGTATCACCTATGAACTAGCTTTGTAATCAGTTGTGAAATATGTAGCAAGAAATTTGTTATAAAATATGGATGAAATGCTGAAGGTTACAAATGACGTACCTTGAAAGCATACATTAGATTTAGAGTTATCTCTATGATGCCAGTCTTATGCACTTATACACAATAGTTTTTTTGTCTAGTGGTAAAGGGACAGAGCTCTGGTTGGTACATTACAAAGGAATAGTTTACACCCTTCTATTTATCTCATGGTAGAGTTGACCAAGTGGTGTTCCACTTTACTGACGCAGTATTTACACATCAAATGAAAATTATGGCAGCGCCTGCATTTTACTTTTCTTGGTTTTATCAAAATTTAGGCACTTTTCTGGTAGAGTATCGTATACCCATTTTATCTTTCATGTATAATGTGTCAAAAAAATAAGATTGAGAACTACTGAACTGGAGATCAGGTATATCGCACCCAGGAAGGACTAGCACTAAACTTGATGGAAGGTGGAGAGGCAGGAGTGAAAGAAATGGGTTTTTCTTTTTCTTAAAAAATTTAAATGATATCATATGTATACAGTGGTAAAACCTAAAATGGCACTTGATCCTTTCTTTCTTGCATTTCCTTCCCACTTCTCCACTTAATCTAAAACTCACTTAAATACATAACTTGTGACATTGTGTTTAATTAAACTGTGTGGAAAAAAAAAACATACACTTTGTCTCAGGCTGATATTTGGCCAGACTTGAGGTAAAATGATAACCTATAGATAAATTCATAATCAGTTCTTGGGTTGTCATTAATATTACATGATTTTTCTACCACTGCATGCTTTTTGGCACTTACATATAACAAGCAGAGCCATAGAACAGAGTAGTACAATGGAAAAAAAAAATAAGAGAAAGTAAAGCTTACCTATTTTCCAAGATGGTTGAAACAAAATACCATGACACACTTAGTATTCACTTGATTGGGAAAGTCATGGAGCTGATCTATGTCTTTTGTCATATACCATAACTTATGTTGGATACATTGATGTGTTTCAACTGAACATTTTAACAAATTAATTTAAGGAATGTTTATTAAGCACCTGTTTTGACAGTCTCTAACAGTGCTGAGTGGGGGAAGGTGTGTGTGTGTGTGTGTGTGTGTGTGTGTGAGAGAGAGAGAGAGAGAGAGAGAAACCACGTGTGAGAGCAGGGAGTGCTCCTGAAAGTGTTAGGCAAGGTCATACTGAAAGAGAGTTTACCATAATAGGAAAAATATAAACGCCATTTCTGATCCCCACTCCCAGGAAAAAAACTATTCATAATAAATTGTATTTAGTTTATTTTATAGGAGAGTTGGCCTGGTTATTTATACAATAAATTTTAGCACTTTACACAGTACAATTGTGTTAATTTAAGGAATATATTTTTGTAATTAAAGTAACAATAGTGGAGTTCTTTTATCTTCTTGAATAGTACCTTAAAGTTGAATAAGTTAATAAAGCAAACTTTCCTTCCCAATGTTAAATTTAAATGCTCTTTGATAAAAAGTTTACAAAAACATTTAAGAAATACATATTTTTCTTTGTGCCAGGTGAGTATTTAACTTCCCGGTATTTTCTTATGACTTTTTAGGTTCTAAGATTGGGTTTAAATATGGTGCTTGATATATATGGGAATCTAAGCTTTCTACCTTAAATACTAAAGAGCAAAAGGAATATAAACTTAGTGCAAAGCAAAAATATTATTTTTCTATAATTAATTTAACAACTTTCAGATTCTGGAGTTGATAATCAAGCCTTTGAGCCTCAAGTTAGATTTTATATTTGGCTTGTCACTGGAGCTGTACCTTGGCTAGAAGTTTACTAGTGTTTGTGTTGTGTTCCTTCTATCCTGTAAGTGAAGAAATCCTCTCACCTTTCTAATTCAAAAGTCAACAAAATAAAAGTTAATTTTTAAAAGTCGACGAGCTTATTATTCTCTTGGGTTGTCCCTCAGGAGTATTTATGATAAATTAATAGTAATATAGATAAACCATGAGTTTACTCCACCCATAAGTTGATCTGTCAGTTGACTGCCACCCATAAATGCAAAAATCCTTCCAGAAGACCGGTGCAGCATGTTATTTCTCCAATCCAAGTACTAACCAGACCCGACCCTGCTTAGCTTCCGAGATCAGATGAGATTGGGCGCATTCAGGGTGGTATGGCCGTAGACCAGCATGTTATTTCTTATGTACCTTCCTATATAAAGAAAGCCAAAGCATATGGTTATAATAATGCATTTATTCCAAAGGTCTTCATATCAGTTTGCATATAGATGGTCTCCAGATTTAACTGCAGTATTGCACTCATGTCAATTTATGATTGGATGCTTAGTGATGGTGAAGAGAGCACTGATTTAGATGTCATTAAATGAATATATAATATCTACAGAGATACATACAATATAAAATTATCTTTTTATCTATAACTTTTTATTTACAGCTTTACATAATAAATGTGTATTTTTGGAATATTAGGCATCATAACTTCTATGCTAGTTCCTTAGCAAGAAGCAAACTAATCCTATTTAGAAATAGCACGATGGTACCATTAAAGCTGGAAAAGAACACAGAATTCAATGAATGTCATAACCTCATTTTATAAATGCAAAAACTGGGTCTCAGATAGGTCAAGAATTTTTCCAATAATGGCCAAGCATTTTCATGATAGAACTAGGATTAGAACCCACTTATTATTTTTAGTTCAATCCTGTCTCAGAATGATGTCATTAGAAAAATGAAAAAAAAATAAAAGGTATGGATTAGAACTGTGCTTGATATAATCAGTGATTTCTTTGTAATTCTCTTCTTTGTCTTTCCTCTGAGAGGGAAATAAAAATGTATTCTTGCTCCTGTGGAGGTTTTTGTAGAGTGCTAAGAACTACAGATTGCAACCACATAGGTCATATCCTCCTCTGTGTCATTCGACCCTTATTTGATCATTCAACTAAAGGCATGAGTGTTTCTCAATTTCCCCTGCCTTTATCACACGTATATTTTGAAAACATTTTAATCATGGTTTGAGATGGTTTATTTTATTACATACCAAACTTCTGGCCTGGAATCTCATGACACTATTGATTGAGTAGGAATTTTGTTAGTGATTCAGATATAGGAATGTCTGTCTCCAAAATATGTTATATTAAAATGTGAAGGTTCATCTTATCTGTAACTAGAACTAGAGTTCCCGCAGTGTGAGTCTAAGTCTTCCAAGTAAAACAGTTTTTAATGTCATTTATTTTCAACTGTTTACAACTTCCCTCCAATACATACATTTCTATCTTTTTATTTTTGAAATTCAAATTTGATCATATAGTGTAAAAACCTTACGTTCCAAGGGAGTTTTTGGGGACTTGAAAAAAAAAACGTGTGTGTATGTGTTTTCATATCTTTTTTGCGGTGTCTCCACTAAGTTGGAAAGTCACTCTGGGTACAGACATCTGGGTACAATGTTGCTGATAGAATTGAGCAATTTTTGTTTTTCTAACTTTTGTAGCTCTGGCCAGCTTCACATGGGCTTCTATCAGTTGAAATGATATCTTTGACTTTAGCCAAGTGTAGGTTACTGGGTTATGAGTGCCAAAAATCATGAGTGGTCTCCACACTCCATCCAGTGTGGATAAAAGCAATATTATAAAATAATTATAATCTTTTGAAGCAGAGCCAGCCACACAGCCTGAGCCCATCTTCCTTCGATAATTTGTATACAGTTCCTATTTTAACGGAACAAACTTTCAGAGGGTACTCACATGGGACTGCTGAACCAGCTGTTCAACTTTTATTTTGAAGAAAAAAGTTGAGCCTCAGAACAGGCTGTTTTAAAGACAGGGAGGGACTTAGCTTTTCTGAGCTTGACCAGCATGTGGAAGGAGTGCTCTCATGGCTCCAAGAACTCAGGGAGCTCCTACCTGGGTGCCACTAGGGTAGGAAGTTTTCTGTTTGTTTTGTTCTGTTTCCGAGGGTCCTGTGCACTTCTCTTGCCTGGATCACCGTGACTGGTGGTGGTTTCTGCACACCCTGCTCTGTGGGGGAGTGCCCCAACGTGCCTGTCTTATGTGGCCTCTATGGACACACTGCTTAGCTGGCAGAGAGCAGGGAAGTTTTCTCCCAGCACCCAAAAAGAGAAAGAGGAAACTACTTTTTCCTTCTGGGCTCCTTGCAGCACAATAGACCAGGATAAGCTTCCACATTCTCTCCCTGGATTTCTGGAGTGGTTTCCAGGAAGAAGTTAAACTTTTACCTTTAAATGGATGACCATGTCACAATCAGGAAGAAACATCTCCAAAGACCCATCTTTAGGTAAGTAATGCTACATCCCACTTGGCTCCAGGGCTATCAGGAAAAATAATTTCTTTCCCTTATCCTTAACTTGGAAATTCTGGCACTAAGCTCCAGCAAAGTAATAGAGTGTGTCTAAAGTTTAACTTCATGCATACCTAAGGAGTCCTTTTATTTTCTATTTTCTGAAGCTGTGCACAAGCTCTTATCAACTCCTCAAAATATATTTTAAAAGCAAATTAGCTATTCAGGCACATGAATGACATAGCACTGGAAAAAACTTCTAAAACATTATGCAGTTCCTCGCTGTTTCCAATGGTTGCACAGCCCTCTAAATTGGAAATACTGTCCTTGGTTATTTCAACTGATTACACTCAGAGATAGTGTTTCAGCACAGCAAATGCTATACCTTTTTGCAGTAGTGTGTGGGAAGACAAATGTGAATTTGATGGCTATATACTAAGGTATATATATTTATAGCTAGTTCAGGAGTATCTTCCTGCAGTTTAGGAAACAAAAGGACAACAGGAAAAATTTTACATTATGGTCAAATCTGTGGCCCAAAAAATGTAGATACAGTATAATAGATTGAGTTAAGGTTTTATTTTTTTTGGTGGGGGACTCACTCTTTCTCTTGAGAACAGGAATTTCTTCATTGACTCTCTAACTCTTGATTCTTTAGTTACTTATGTACTTTAGAATTCAGAATTGGGAATTAAGACTTTTAAAGAGGCTAGATAATCAACACAGTTTCTGCCTTATAAGACAGAAGATCTTAAAAAAAGAAGTAATTATATATTAATTTTGTGCTTCCCAGCAAATAATATCCTAAACAAATTGGAGATACTACATGCTAGCAAAACTAGACATTAAAGTCAAGTTGCAGTCACTGGTTGTTGATTTAGAATTAACTATAGGATAATAGAAGTTTATGGATGAAATTCCTGGCATTCTGTGGTTGTCACATAATGAATAAGAATGGGCCTGAAGGCATATGTTTTATGTATTGATTAAGCCTTGTTACAGTATTATAAGTAGCAACAATACACTTTTGTAATGCTTAGAACAAAATGCTAGTTCAAATCTGTTTTACAGCCCTCTTAAAAATAAATCATATTGGGACGCCTGGGTGGATCATTCGGTTAAGCGTCTGCCTTCGGCTCAGGTCATGATCCCAGGGTCCTGGGATTGAGCTCTGCCTGCTCAGCGGGGAGCCTGCTTGTACCTCTCCCTCTGTCCCCTCCCACCACCCCCACCCCACTTGTGCTCTCTCTCTCAAACAAATAAATCTTAAAAAAAAATCATATATAAATCTGTACATGTGGATTTAATATCATAATCTGTGTCTATATTTTATGCAGTGTTGGCAATAAATAACCAAAAATCCAAAATGACCCCCGAATGTGTATTCACCTGCCATAATTCCTATGTAATTAATTTCTGTTTTCTCCCAAGTGCATGTGTGACTTCAAAAAGATATGACAGTAGCACAGATGATTCCAAACTCAACCCCAATGAGGCACCATTAGAAGAGGGAACCTGTGCAAATTCAAGAAGCCAAGATTGTGTTGGATAAAATCAGATCCACTTGGCCAGTATCTTTAGTATGTTACCCCATTGGGAGGCTATTGGCGATTGAAGCAGGTGGTCCTTCTCCACTGGTTTATGGCGAATCCATATCCCGTCCTGATGAATTGTATGCTAAGGTGCCACTCACAGGGAAATTGCAACTCATCGATGCTTCTGTTCTTTTTCGTATAAAGTAACTGAGATTCTTTGCCCAAATAATTAGAATACAATTTGGTAAATTCAAGTGATTTACTTCATGATCCTGGTGACCTAGAAGAGAAAACATAGCTGCCAAAGAGGACATACTTTCACTCAGGCAACTGTTTCAAGCAAGGATACAAATGGTCCCTGACTGAAAACAGTTTAAGGCCAGATGTGGGGTTGGGATTAATGGGTCAGTTGGCACATTGATAGATGGCTTTGCTTTTATCAGGATATGATTTTTGTGGGGGAAAAGGGAGGTAGAGAGTATCTTAATAAAGCATTCAAATGGCTAGACATAATTCCTCAGATAAAGTGTTGGGCTATATTTCGGTAAAACACAGCATTGACTTTCTGATAGCTAGTTGTACTTTTGGGCAAGTTGGGAAGTGGTTTAAGATTGTTTTTGGCATCTTATGCCCTTATCCGATGCCCCACTTCATTTTCTTTTTTGGTCTACTTTCTCTGGTTCCTTGTCTTCTTGGGCTATTACTTACTGGATTGTCCACCTCTCACTCTGAGACATCTTTCTCAAGCCTGCCTTTCTGTTCAGAGAGCCATGTACCAGACTTTCCTTCTCAGTATGTACTTGTTCACACCCTACTTCCTAAGGGATTTGCATACTAGTTCTCAATCCACTTGGTAAAAAATCAGTGCTAGACTGTTTTGTATGTGTTAGTCACAAGTTTAACAGAAATTTTGTGAAAATAATATTTTGACTGTTTATAAATAATTCACTTAAAATTTTAGTCATTAAGAGAGGATCAGTCTGGGATTTTGGGGGAAATATCTGACATACTGACACCATTCAAGTTTTTATATACAGACTACTTTCTCCTGCAACTGAACCAAGAGCTTTAATTCAATTCACCTGGCCTTCTCTGATTGATTATAAGTGTCCAGAATCTGGACTACTGCACTGGGGAGGTCTGACATGATAAAGAAAAACAAACCGTGTCTGCCTTCACATGACATATCATCTAGTATATACCTAGATAACTATGGCACAGGCAGATGATGGGTGCCAAAAAGGAGATGACAATGTCCTGGGAAATTATAATGAGACAGATTTCAATGATGACTAATTCTGACACCTACGTGAATTGAGAGAGATAAACAAGATTTTTTAAATTTTTGAAGCTGAATAGACATCGATTTTTAATTAGCATAATCTCCCTAAATTTCAGACAAGAAAAATCACCCATCAAGTATAAAAAGTTAGTTGAGAGGCTTTAGAGTAGACAGTGGATGTTGAAATTCCATGGCTGGATATGATATCAGGAAGAATCTGAGTAATCTTACATATTCTTTAGATTCTGCCTCTAAAAATGTCTGTGTCTCCTACAATGATGATTCCTGAATCATCTCACATAGGTTAGCAAATCTATGTTTTAAAAGTCTTTTGTGGAATTTTTAGGTATATATTTTCACACCAGGTCTGTGAGAAAAGGAAAAGGCAAAGGTGTTTTGTTTTTGTTTTTGTTTTTGTTTTTAATGGCCAAGGTGGGAGTTTACATGATCTCTATTATGCATGTCAGGTGGAACTTGGGATCAGTGAGACTGACTATTTAGCCCTGAGAATATATAAATGGTGCATCTCAAACCTACTTTGAGGTTTTTGCCTGTAGACATTCCTGCAGTTCAGAATTGTATATAAAAATGATGATTCTCCCTTTACTCAAGAGAAATTCTTTAGGTTTTATAATTTTCCAGGAAAGAAACACTATGACAAAATGTATATTAATGTGTTTTAAATCAACAACACTAAGTTTGGGGACACTTGGGTGGCTCAGTCGGTTAAGCGTCTGCCTTTGGCTCAGGTCATGAGGTCCTGGGATCGAGTCCCATATCGGGCTCCTTGCTCAGTGGTGAGCCTACTTCTCCCTCTGCCTGCTGTTCCCCCGCTTGTGCTCTCTCTCTCTGACAAATAAATAATAAAGCTTAAAAAAAAAACACTAAGTTTGTCCCTCAGCACATAGAAAATAAAATTACATAGAACCTTAAAATCCAAGATGTGAATAAACACTTGACATGAAAGACCTCCCCCCAAAAAAGAAACAGTTTTTTAGGCTTTTAAAAACCTCTTTTTCGGGGCGCCTGGGTGGCTCAGTCATTAAGCGTCTGCCTTTGGCTCAGGTCATGATCTTGGGGGTCCTGGGATCGAGCCCCACGTCAGGCTCTCTGCTCAGCGGAGAGCCTGCTTCTCCCTCTCCCACTCCCCTTGCTTGTGTTCCCTCTCTCGCTGTGTCTCTCTCTGTCAAAAAATAAAATCTTTAAAATAAATAAATAAATAAATAAAAACCTCTTTTTCTGTGTTACCACTGAGTTTTCTCTCTGGTAATCGTAACTGATCTCTTTGTATAAATAGATTCTTTAATTTAAATCCATTTCAAATGAATTACCTTTATATAACTTCAGTAAGACAGTTGCTGAAGACACTTCCATCTTATTGCATATTCATCTTGCTTAACAAACTTTCTATATTCCCATGGGATAAATAAACATTTAACTTTGATATCAAGGAAAATCTGTTTCTCCTAATAAAGTACATCAGTGGGAATATTTCTTATCTGAATTTCATTGTCATGAAGTTTAAGTCTAGGTTTCTGTTATTATCAACTCCTCCTATTTGATTTGATATTTTATCAAATTCTATTATATGTGCATTGTTTTCCATTTGTTGCTTCAAATTCTTTCTAGGAGTAGGTCAGGAAAAAAATGAACTAAAAAAATAAATTGAAACTTTCCTCACATGTTAAGCCTTATTTTGTGTTCTTTGACGCCAGCAACCTATTGAACCTCTTCTGTGTTCAAAATGGATAAGTTATTTTTGTGGTGGCTTTCCATTAGAAGTAACACTAAAAAGCCACAAAAGAAATCATGCAAATAGTTGTTCATCAGCCCTAGATTTGAGAACTGGTCTATGCATCCAGGATCTGAGACATTAAAGTGCAAGTCAGATTGCTGCCAGGACCTCAGACTAATGAAAATCATGTTGAGATCTTCACAGCATTTAGAACATGCTGTTTCGTCCCTTTATGCCTTTTCAAAAGTCTTATTTTTACAAGTATCTGTTAGCAGAGGAATTCTGAGTGTGCTTTTGGCAGGCATATTCTCTTCACATGGAGATGGAGAAAGCAGGAGGATGATACAAGAAAGCACAGGAAAAGACAGACAGATCCTAATTTTCTTTGTGGACCTAATGGGCATGGTTAGTAAACTATTGCTGCGTCTGATTTCTAATTTCAAGG